GCACCGTGACGTCACTGCTGGAAGATGGCAGGAGGGAGGGGCTACTATATTTGGGCAAAAATGGCCGCTCCCAGACTTTTCCTTTAAATGCTACGAAGGCTTCAGCTGATTGGTTGAAAGCAGAGAAACTGACCCAGAATGGACCTTGAAAGATTACGACACCAAGACCAAAGGAAATGTTCTACCTGCCTCCCCTGTAATCATCTGTTAGAGGAGGAACAATTATGGGTTTCTAAAGTCGGATCATCCAGAACCTTCCCATCAGTTCCAGCTTCTAGAACCCAAAGGAAAAGCTGAAGATTTTTAAACAGACTTCAAGGTTTCACTGATCCAAAAAGAAACATTACGACCCAAAGATGTTCCCTCTGTACCATTAAACCCGAGAAGACAAACTTCCAGCCAGCCTCCTGGTAGATCCTTCATCCTGCTGGAACCTGCAGGTTCTGCTCAGAGGACGCATCAGAACCCAGAACCACTAAACAATAAACGCCACATGAGGAGCATCGTGTTCAGGCCGTCAGTCAGTGACGATCAGAAATCCTCCTGCAGAAACACGTTCATCCCTGCAGGGTTTGTGTTTGTTGTGCTTCACATTTTCACACCTTTAATCCTTCCCAACAAACCTCCAGAGCTCCTTCAGGATTTCACGCCTCGCAGCGACCTGACAGCAGGAGACAGACCTCCTCCATCAGCTGATCTCTGATTACGGCTCGGGAAGCAGAAGTAATCAGAGGGAACCGTACTGAGAGCAGCGACTCGTGGCGCCGACACCCAGTTCAGGTCGGCGTGACGCCCATGACTCACTGGCACGCTCACTTTCTAAACACAGACACGAGATGAACCTCAGAAACCGGAACTTTCGCACCGATTCTGCATTTCACCACAGATTCAAGAGTCTGCATGACAAATATTTCCTGCAGCTCAGAGAGAAAACAAGCCGACCATCAGCCTCTGCAGGATCCTGCAGCCTGAATCTGATCTGAAACAAGCAGACAACATTTCCTCCTTTCCTGTAACTTGAACCCTGAGGCAGAAGGAAGAAAGGAGGACGATGCAGAAATCACATGAAGCTCGGCCAAGTGAGGGGACTCTACCTTTCCTGTGATCCATGGCCCGCAGCATGCCATGGTAGAGCGGCTCCTCTATGAAGACCCCGTCGCTGCCGGCGCTGTCTGAGGAGTAGTTCCTGAACCTGGCCTCCATGGTCCTGATGCCGCCGCCGCTACGGGCTGACTGGCTCAGAGAGAAAGTTCTGATTCAGAACAGCTTCCCTGCCTGCAGGCCACCATGTCAGGAGCCACCCATCACATGCAGAGAGACAGGCCACGCCCCCTGACCACACCCAGCACTAAACCGCCTTTTTTTATCTGCGCAGCTGCTTCTCTGCTGCAGCTTCACCACAAACAGCCTCAGAACCGTTCTGTTCGGACCGACCCGCATGACAGGCGGCTCCGCCTGCAGGAAACTGGGTCACTCACATAACCCGACCCGCTTTCACTCCAACAGAATGAGTCTTCTCCCGTTAGACCCGGAAAAAAAGTTCCCCTTAATCTGATCATCACCTCAGTCCAAACGGGCCCTGTTCCAGAACCATCAGAGTTCATGTTGGGGTTCCGACTCTAAAAGTCAGAACATGGCCGATGTCTGAATCAGTTCTGGTCCAGTTCTGGACTGAACTGTTGGATCATGAACGGTTCCGGTCAAAATGAGGAACAGTCTGTGGGATACAGAACCGGTTCTGCTGGGACAGATTGGATCAGTGGAGGACGCCATCAACGGACCACAAAGGAACCGAGCCGGGCTCAGAACTTTGGAGCATGAAGAACTGATCTGGAAAAACTCCAAGTCTGGAGTCAAACAGAACCATCGGCTGGAATGATCCAAAAATGGAGCGGGTCGTACAGAACCGGACAAACCATCAGAACCCTTCTACAGTCAGTCCACACGGACCTTCAGGGACCCGGATCA